CAGGGGAGTACTTGAAATACCGGGGGGGCCACTCTGTAAAGTATATGATTGTCTAACCACTATGTTGCACACCTGAAACTAATATAGGATAATATTGAATGTGAACTATAATTTTCTTTTTTTAAAAAAGATGGAAAATTGTATGTTTTTCATCACAATAAAAAAAATTTAAGAATTTCAAAAAAAAAAAAAAGATTTGGAAATGGTTTACTGAGGTGCTACTGACTCCAGATCTCTCAAAAGTTATGTCAAGATGCTGGGGCCACAGGCATCTGTCACCTTGGTCTGTTTCCAACTCACACGCATGGCCAGCGGGTGGGTGAGGCCTCGGTTGTTCCTCCTGCTTCTCAGTCTATAACCAGCGTGGCCAGCGGTCCACTCTTCCCTCCCGTCTTTCTCTGGTCCTGACCCAGACCCAGATCAAAGAACCGTCTGCTCAGGCGGAGCTGGGTCTTCAAAAGGGGGTGCAGGGCCCTACCGGCATGGCTCAGTGATTGAGCGTCACCCTATGAACCAGGAGGTCATGGTTGATTCCTAGTCAGGGTACATGCCGGGCTGCAGGCTCCATCCCCAGTGGGGGCATGCAGGAGGCAGCCAATCAATGATTCTCTCTCATCATTGATGCTTCTGTCTCTCTCTCCCTCTCCCTTCCTCCCTGAAATCAATAAAAATATATATTTATTTAAAGCGGGGGAGGTGCAAGAACCATGGTGTCCAGGCCGGGGGGAGCCAGCAGCAGGGTGGGGACTGGCTCTGGAGGGGCAAATGGAGAGCCCCCCTCCCCCAGCCCACATGGTCAGCACAGGCAGGACACCAAGGCCAACGTGGGCAGAGCGGGTATTTCTCCAGAAAGGGCCATGGTGAGCAGCGCTGCCAACCAGCACGTCACTGGTCCCTGCTGTGAGGACTCTGGAAAAGCTGACCACATCGGTAATTAGAGGCCGGAGGTGGCCAGACCTCATAGCATCTCTGACTTCACCTTCCTGTCGGGGCATGAGAAGGTCTCCCGGGAGAAGGAAGTGAAGCTAAAGCTAGAGGCCGAGAGAGGTCCATCCAGCGTGTGCTCCCTCCCTCCCTCCCTATATTTATATTTTAGAGAGAAAGGGTGAGGGAGAGGGAGAGGGAGAGGGAGAGAGAGAGAGAGAGAGAGAGAGAGAGAGAAATATCAATGATCGATCGGCTGCCTCCTGCACGCCCCACACTGGGGATCGAGCCCACAACCCCAGGCATGTGCCCTGACCAGGAATTGAACTGTGGCCTCCTGGTTCACGGGTCAGTGCACAACCACTTAGCCGCACCAGCCAGGCTGACTCTCTGCTCTTTAAACCAGTTTCTTTGGAAACGTGGCAGATCCCTCCCAGCAGCTCTTAAACACCCTCCGAGGGAAACGTGTCTTATGAGAGAGGACCTGTTTCACCGGTGTCCTCTGAAGTCGGTGGCTCAGTAGGAACAGGCCAGAAGAGTGACACGTTAGCTTATCAACGAGGACACACACGGGTGTTTTTTCTCTCTGGCAGCCGCAGGCACATACACAGTCCCTTTGCCTTCAACGCAGGGTAGCATTTTGCTCTGTGTTGGAGCAGCATCTTCTTCCCACGGCACTCGCTGTGGCATAAACCACAGTGCCAAGAGCAGGTGCTTCTGTCAATGGGCCCCTGGATGTATCTGGGGAAGAGAAACACCCTCCGCGTGGACTGGCCTAGGTGCTCTTTGGGGCGCTGGCTGTTAGGGTTGAGCTGTGGGCAGCAGCAGGTTTCCGATGGGCATCCAGCAGAGAGGATGGTATGTGTCCCCTCTGTAGGGGTGGGGACAAGTCCCAGCACCCTCTCTGGTAGGAGGGAGCTGACAGATGGAGGTCATGGGGGCATCCTTGGAGTGGTTACCTCTCTTGTCACTGAAGCCATTGTGGCTGCCCTTTCCCTGCCGGCTCTCATTGTGATGGCCTAGGCCAGTGGTCGGCAAACTCATTAGTCAACAGAGCCAAATATCAACAGTACTTCTTCAAAATAGACTCGCCCAGGCCGAAAACCAACTTCTGCGCATGGGCCACAAAGTTTCAATCGCACTGTACATGTGCCCACATGTGGTATTTTGTGGAAGGGCCACACTCAAGGGGCCAAAGAGCCGCATGTGTCTCGCGAGCCACAGTTTGCTGACCACGGGCCTAGGCTGGCAGCCCAACCTCTGCTCTGCTGCTTATGTTTTCTGGTTTAGGGTGATTTCTGCAGCTTTCGACCACTCCCTGGGCAAAGGTGTGCCCACAGCAGTGGGTTTCCGGGGGGTCCCCGCCTCAGGTAGTGGGAGCTGCCTGAGCTCTGCCCACAGCGGAGCTGCCAGGGTGCCTCCTCTCTGCAGGTGGCCTCTTAGACGTGTCTCCCATGAGCCCCTCCTGGTGTATGTGTGTGTGGAGTGGGGGTGGGGGGTCACTGTGGAGACAGGGCCTGTCACTCCAGGTGACTTAATCAGCGTGGAAAGCGCCCTGGAAGCCACCGGTTGGTCTTCTGCCTCTCAACACAAATGCTCTTCAAGTGGTGGTGACCTGACGTGGACTCTCGGAGAAAGGCCTTTTGATCCCGGGCCGGGATGCCTGTCCCCGCGTGCTCCCGGCTGCCTCCCTGTGGAACTGCGGCGCCCCGCCGCCCAGCCAGGCTCTGCTGGGAGGCAGCTGACCTGAAAGTGATGTTATTTTGTTTTCACGTGGGTTTCAGTACCTAGAGCAAGAATATTTTCAGCCGGTTATTGAGGCTGATTAGTGAGTCTTAGGCCTCTATGAGGTTAAATAGAGCCGCCTTCACAGATATATTTTGGGACAGTGCAAATCCCGGGTTCTGCATGGGATTGAGTTACCCCAAAAGGTGGTCTGAGCCTTGCAAAGCAGTCTGGGTAAATTCCCATGGTGCCAGACCACTAGGTGAGGCATCCAGAGCAGCAGACACGCTGCTGCTTCTCTCCTTCACCTTGGAAAAGCGGGGGGTGGTCATTTGCACTCTAGACTCAGCTCCCAGCCCTGTTGCTTGCCGGCTTAATTGTATTTGAACTAGTTGTATTTGGCCCCTGAGAGCCTCAGTTGCTTCATCTGTAAATTGGGAATAATAATACCCACCTCTCAGGGTGAGTCCATAATCTACTCCATACTGTGTGGAGGTGTGTGCTCACATGAGTATCAGTTAGGGGGATTGTTGGGGAGCATAGTGGGAGAAGGTAACAGGAAAAACTCAAGAAGAAAAGAGCTACCTTCTCTCCTTAAATGGTCTCAAGACATCATGAATCAAATCATCAAGACATGACCAGTCCCACCAGGCTCATCCCAATGGCGAGGGGCATTGGCCTTCGCAGAGAGGTGAGGAGGCCGCGGCCCACAGAGGTCAGGAGGACGGAGCTCTGTGCTGGCTGTGCTGCGACCAGCTGTGTGACCTTAGGCCAGGCCTTGACCTCTCTGAGCCTCGTGTCCAGCTCGTGTAGCTCCGAGTGGGTTGGATTCCTTCCAGACCCACCATCCATAGTCCTGTGACTCAAATGATCGTAGTGTCCATGTTCCTTCCTTGGAGAAAATCACTTTATCTTGATCCTCCTTTAGAAGAGAAATGGTCACGAGCGGAAACTCACTCACTTTGGATGGAAATGTGCTGTGGGTGTCCCAAGTGCTGCCCGAGCTTCCCTTTTTCTGGGAGGGTCTTCTGGGAGGGTCTGGGGAGAAACTGGCCCTAGACGTGGGCTCCAGAGGTTGCCTGGAATGGAGTGGGAAGGTCTGGGGCATCTAACTCTGCAGAGGGGGAGCAGGGGGTGGGGGTGAGTTTCGGTCGTCTGTGCTGATGTCATCGTCTCTGTCTCCTCTGAAATAGCTGTGCTTTGGGGCCGAGATTGACAAATCCTGGAGTGGGAGATGTTGAAATGGTTGTAAACAACTTGTAATCAGTTCCGTGTCCACAGGAGACAGGCGAGCTCACCCAGGCTTCTTGTCAGCTCCAGGCCCTTATGCACTTGGCAAGGGCGCCCTGGGCAGTGAAGGAGCCCCTCGGGGTCAAGGGAAATACGAAGGCCGCCTGTCAGAGGCCTCGCTTCATCAGGGCCGGGGCCCACTGGCTTGGTCTGCCGCCTCGAGTTTTAAATTCCTTGGTGGTGCTGAGAAAGTGCTCTGGGCTGGGAGGTCCAAGTCCCAGCCCTGCCACCTCCCCCGGGCAACTCCACTGAACCCCCTTCCCCCCTGCTCTTCACAGGTGGGTGAAGGGGGAGTAAGGGTAACCCCCATCCTCCCACTCATTTCCTAGGCTCTTTGGAGGTTCAGATACAAGCATCTGAAAAACCTCTGTGTGCTCACTTTGTAAGCTGAAAAATTGCCAAAGGTTAGGCATCCATATTACTGTTTTCTCTTACAAAGTGTAATCCGAACAATGGCAATCATTATGGCAACTGTTAACTGGGTATTTACTAGGTGCCCAGCTCTGGGCTAAGAGCTTTCTCACGTTCGCTGCACAGGCGCCCCAGAGCCCGTGCTTTTTCCATGTGCATTTCATAGAGGTCAAGGAAGTTGTCTAAGGTCACCCAGCTTGGAAGGTCCGAGTGACCAGAGGCAGCCTCTCGGGGTGGGCCTCCCACTCCGGTGGCTTGTTATTTTCCAGTGACTTCCTTTGATTTATCTGTGCTGGTGGTTCTCAGCCCGGCTTCCTGGCATCTCAACCTCAGCTGCCTGGATGCCCGGCCCTTGTCGCCAGAAGGTCTGACTCGGGTGGGGTGGGTGAGGCCCGAGCACCAGTGTTGGCTCCCCAGGGATTCTGATGTGCGGCCCGAGGGAAAGCCGCTGTCCCAGGCACGTGTCCACGATGGTGCAGAGCGGGCTGGACGGGATGCCGGGCCTTCTGCCCTCCCTGGGCCTCAGCTCCCTGCCCTGCAGGAGGGGATGGGCCACTCCAGGGAATCTTCTCTTAGGGCCCCGAAGGTTCCGTCACTTTAAGATGCTCACGAGCAAATCTCTTACTGTCCTTTTCCTTCTTCTGTTTTAGGCAGAATATGAAGTTACTCCAGATGAAAAACTGGGAGAAAAAGGGAAGGAAATTATGACCAAGTACCTCACCCCTAAGGTAAGAGGCCGCCCACACCCCACAGCAGGAGGACTGGGGGGCCTGATCCAGGAATATGGGCCCCCAGACCTGTGCTGGGCCGTGTGGCTGCCATGGGTCTCCAGAGATCCAGAATCTTCGTCCTTCCCCAGAGAGTGCCCATGCCTGGCAGGACCGACGGGTGCCCAGGCCAGGCCAGCGGGTGGTTGTGAGGGTCCGTGTGGCAGGGAAGGGTTTGGAGGAGATGGGAGGGGAAGAGGGTGGCCGAGGCTGTGTTGGCAAAGGCAATGTCAGTTGAGCACATAACAGAATGCAGAGTATTCTGAAGTAGGTATCCGAGTGAACGGAGGGTGAGGGGCCGCCCTGACCCCACCTCAGGAGCACCCCCTCGTGGCTGAAGGAAGAGAGGCAGTGCCACCCCCTGCCATTCCCCCCAGGGCCCTGGTGGCCTTGGTCCCTGGAACTTGTGTCTTCTTACCCCAGTTTGACAGATGAATGTGTTCTCCGTCCATGTCGAAGGAGCTGGCCTGGGGGCTGGGTTTTCATCCCAGCTCTGCCACCCACGCAGTCATGTTTCCTCTGGGCCTCAGACCCCCTTTCTGAAAAGTGGCCCTCCCCCTAGACCACCTCCCGGAGGCCCTGAGAGCCTGCGATGAGACCATCACGCAGACAGCTTTGCGTGCATCCTGTACCCTGTGGGCAGCGGTAGCTACATCCCCCGTCCCCCCAGGACCCGGACTCTGTGGGCGCCAGCCCCCCAGGAAGCGTGCTCCTCATGTCCAGGCTGCTGGTGGAGTAAAGGCACCGTGGCCTGTGTGATGGGGTCCTGGCTGTCCATCCCTCACACAGTGTGGCAGGAGGGGCCACACACAGGCACGGAGGCCAGGAAATAAGACCTTGGTTGTCCTCTGCCCAAGCCTCAGTGTTCTTTGCTGTAAAACGGGTGAGGCTTGACCCGTTCATCGCAGAGGGTCCCTGCCAACTGGACAGTCACGGACTGTGCCCTCTCCCAGCTCACACGGAGGGAGGGACAGGCTGTTTGCAAGACAAGAACCAAGCGAGAAGCAGAGGAGACACTTGTAGGCAGGGAGAGGTGTGTGTTGCGGACGATGCGTAGAGACTCCCAGGGTGGGACATCTGGCCCCTAAAGAAAGGTGGCCCCTGACCCACCTAAGAGTATTAATCAGTTGATCCTTCATGAGCTTGACTCAAAAGGCCCTCCCTGCCTGCCACCTGGGGTGCTAACCCCAGGGCCTGTGTCTGTGGGCGACGGCACTGAGGCTGGGGCAGCCTGAGCCAGGTGTGCAGGTAACTGGTGGACTCTACTCGGGAGATGGGGGGCAGGGGGTGGGAGGTGGACAGAATCCAGGCCAGCAGCTCCTCCAGCAGCAGCTGGGCTGCTGAAAGCCTGCAGCCCCTTGTGAAGGCGTCCACATGACTCGAGGGGTTTAACCCACAGTAGCCCCTTCGCCCCGTGGCTTTCAGAATGACAGCTCACTGACTGGGTGCCTACCGGAGCCAGACGCCACCTCGATGTTCTCTGTGATGGAGTTCAGCCTCCAGAGAGAGTTGAGAGACAGACAGCCGTGTACAGGCTGCGTGGCCGGGAGGGAGGAGCCTGCTGCAGGTGCAGCTACTGGAACAGCGCGGGCAGCTTCCACCGCCACGGCGGCTCAGCTTTGCCCGCCGTCTCCTTCGGGGCTGCCCACCTGCTTGGGTTCCCTGCAGACAGTAGCAGCCTTCGTGTATTGAGGACCCACTGTGTGCTGGTGCCGTCTCACTTAGTCTTTGCTGTCACCGTGTGATGTGCTTCTGTTGGCTCTGCCTTAGGGGAGGGTGGGGAGGCTCTGGAGGGGCTGCCCCGGTCCCAGGTCACACAGCTGGGGTTGAGCCCGGGTTGGGGTGACCCAGGAGTCCTGGGTCCCCTGTGGTGCACTGTCTCCCACGCCTGCCCCCTCGCTGCCGCCCTGCCCCATCCCGCAGGTCTGCGGCCTGGCTGATCTCAGCGAGGATGAAGGGGCTCTTTGCCTGGCCTCGCCAACTCTTTCTGCCTATCCGAGGGCTGCTCTGGGCTACCCTCTCTCCCCACTTGGCCAGCCTCATCCACCAGTCTCTGCCAGTGGACCCCCAGTCTGGGCCCTCCAGGCCGCCTGCCCCTCTCAGGGCTGCCTCCACCTCCTGGGCAGGCCCAGCCTCTCGTAGCTCAGACAGTTTTACAGGCCCTCAGAGCTGCCAACAGTTTTTTCTCACGTGCTCCTCCGTTTTTAACATTTAAACCACACCATATGTGATGGCCCCAGGGCTGGGGCCGGTGGTCAAAGTGGCCCCGTGGGCCGACTGTTTTCCGCCAATAAATTTTGCACCGCCTTCCCCGCTTTCCTGTGGCTGCTCTCTCGGGAGCCGGCTTCCCTCTCGGTCCTGCAGACGCCCCAGGTGCTGGGGAGCGAGGGGCAGCTAGTGGCTGAGGCTACTGTCCCCAAGCCCAGCTTGTCCTTACCTTGGGCCTCGTAAGATGCAGCGCAGGTGTCTCGGCTCCAGGGACCATTTTCCAAAGGGGGGACCGTATCATGCTGACCAGGAAACACCCCTGTGACCTCGCCCACATGTCAGCAGTGCCAAGGCCAAGGAACCCTGGTGTCGAGGGGGGCGGGTGTGGGAGGTCAGTTTTGCAGGAGTGGACAGTAGAGGGGCCGGGCCTCTGGGCGGCAGGGCCAGGAAAACCTTGTCGGGACTTTGACATCATCCCAAAGGCAGTGGGGGCTGCTGGGGCTCTGCATGCCATTGACAGTCTAGGGCAGTGGTCGGCAAACTGCGGCTCTTTGGCCCCTTGAGTGTGGCTCTTCCACAAAATACCACGTGCGGGCGCTCATGTACAGTGCGATTGAAACTTCGTGGCCCATGGGCAGAAGTCGGTATTTTGTGGAAGAGCCACACTCAAGGGGCCGAAGAGCCACGTGTGGCTCGCAAGCCGCAGTTTGCCAACTACTGGTCTAGGGTGATCCCGCTGACCACACGGAGGAAAAAGGAGAGGGGAGACTGGAGGCAGGAGACCATCCAGGGACCTGCTGCAGGGGCTGTGGGTTGACCCAATCTGGGAGCTGGTCCCTGAGTGGGTGCAGGTGCCCAGGAAAGACAGAGAGCGTAGGAGGAGGGTCATTAGCTCACGGGGCGGAGATGACAGCATCTGCTCTGAGTGTCCCCTGCCCAGCACAGCCCTAGACACAGTCTCATTCATTGCCAGTCGGTTTGATGGAGGCAGTGAGGGGGGCCTGGGAAGCTTCCTCACGGGCCCTCACCTCTCCTACCTCAGGTCTCTTTCTGGGGAGCTGGTGCTTGGCTGGCTGTGTCCCCCAGTGTCTGGTTGTTTGCTGGGAACGTTCCTCTCAGAGTCAAAGCTTAAGCTCAGAGTTGAACTCTCGACCTCCGTGCGATGATGCTCTTCAGACCCACAAAGTCCCCTCCTTGGATGCTGCCCGAATCCTGCATCCAATGCCCACACCCGGGAAGCCTTGCTCAGGGGGCGTTAGAGGACGCAGCCGGGTGGGCTTGGGGACAGGCTGGAAGCTGTGGGAGAGCGAAGACAAAGGCAGCAGGCGCTGTGAGAAGGTGAGTTTTAGCCCCTGGTACACCTGGGTTGGAAGCCAGATTTGGCTCCTTGGCACACGGCCTTGGGAACTAACCTGACTCAACCGCTTGATGACGCAGGATAGTGAGTGGTGGGCGACATAAACACCAGCGAGGACAGAGCCAGGGGCTGGTAGGTATCAGCCACTCGCTCTGACAGTCCCCTCCCTGGTCTGCACTTTCAGAATCAGGCTGCTGAGTGAGGAAATCATTCAGAAACGAATTCCAGCTGGGGGTGTGAGAGGCCAAAGGGGGGTCCGGAGGGGCCCCGCCACGGAGGGCTGGCCAGAGAGGCCGCACTCGTTAAAAGGCAATGCAGTAGTCAGGATGATGAATGCCCGCGGCCAGGACACACGAACCCAGGCCTCAGGGCTTCCCGCCACGGAGATGTCTTGCTTTCTCATGCACAGCCCGATTGTGTCTTCATCTCTCCTGGGCCGCTTGTGTGGCTCCACAGTCTTAAAGATGTTGTCACATGGTAATCTCCAAAGGGGGAGAGAAGCATGACAGAGGCACATAAGCCTTAGCTGCCCTGGCCCAGAGCGACAGCCACTTCCTCTCCCAGTCCACTCTCCCGACCAAGGGCGGTGGCCGAGAAGGATGAAGACTACTGCTCTGTCTCTGCTAGCCGATACTGCCTAATCAGATAAAGGATCATGGGAGCCCTGGCCGGGTCGCTCAGTTGGTTAGAGCATCGTCCCGATACCCCAAGATTGTGGGTTCCATCCCCAGTCAGGGCACATACAAGACAACCAATGAATGCATAAATAAGTGAAATAGCAAATCTCTCTCTCTCAAATCAATCAATAAATTTTTTTTAAAAGAATCGTGGGTTTTATTTATTTGTATACATGTTGCTCAAGGCAGGCTGGGGGATTCTGGGAGGCACGTGGAGTATTGCTACCTCTCCGTGTTCTCATCCCCCGCCCCCCCAGCTGAAAGCATTGTCTGTGTAGGAGGCCAGTCTCCGGGCTGGTGAGACAGCCAGGAGCATGGCACTTCTTTTTTTGTATTGACGATTTTTATTGATTTCAGAGAGGAAGGGAGAGGGAGAGAGAGAGAGAGAAACATCAGTGATGGGAGAGAATCATTGATGGGTTGCCTCCTACACACCTCATACTGGGGATCGAGCCCGCAACCCAGGCATGTGCCCTGACCAGCAATCGAACCGTGACCTCCTGGTTCATAGGCCAACGCTCAACCACTGAGCCACACCGGCTGGGGAGCATGACATGTCTCACAGCTATTTTCAGGCTTGTCTGCTCCGAGGAGCTGCCCAGGGACCCCCAAATGGAATCAGATACATGTGCTGGGCTCTATAGAGATCTGGGCAGCTCACCTCCCAGGTGCCTGCAGATCGGAGTGATACAGGTGACAGGTGTTCAGCGGCAGGGATG